GCAAAGACCACACAATTCCCTCATCGTACAGGCCAATAAGCTTACTATCGTGTCTGTCCAAATTACTGGAAAAATGCCTGCTCACGCGCATTACACCATATTTAAGAGAACAAAACTTAATCCCGGCACATCAATTCGGGTTTCGAGAAAGCCACGGAACCATCGAGCAAGTCAACCGGATAACTTCAGAAATTCGTACAGCCTTCGAACATCGGGAATATTGTAGTGCGATATTCCTCGACGTCTCTCAGGCATTCGACCGAGTGTGGCTTGAAGGCCTTATGCATAAAATCATAACATTACTGCCAGAAAACACTCATAAGTTACTTAAGTCGTACCTCTACCACAGAGTCTTTGAGGTTAGATGCAATACAACGACATCCAACGAGTATAACATTGAAGCCGGAGTCCCACAAGGTAGCGCCTTGGGCCCTACCCTGTTTATCCTATACACAGCAGACATCCCTACGAACGAGCGGCTGACTACGTCCACATTTGCTGACGACACCGCAATCCTGAGCCGCTCGAGATGCCCAACTAGAGCAACAGCTCAACTGGCTGATCATTTGGAGGTAGTTGAAAAGTGGCTATCAGACTGGCGAATCAAAATTAATGAACAAAAGTGTAAACATATAACGTTTACCCCTAACAGACAATCGTGCCCGCCGCTAACTTTGAATGGTACGCAGATTCCCCAAGCCAGCGATGTAACATATCTCGGCGTCCACCTCGACAGACGCCTAACCTGGCGGAGGCACATTGAATGCAAGAAAGTACATCTCAGACTTAAAGCTAGCAGCCTACACAGGATTATAAATTCTCGATCACCCCTGTGACTGGACTTTAAAGTTCTTCTCTACAACTACACCCTCAAGCCCATTTGGACCTACGGCTCCCAGCTCTGGGGGAACGCGAGCAACAGCAACGTTGACATCATACAGCGCTCACAATCAAAAATCCTGCGAACAATCACTGGGGCACCATGGTATGTTCGGAACGAAAACATCCACAGGGATCTGGGCATACCACCGGTCAAAGATGAAATAGCAAAGCAGAAAGCGGCCTACCATAACAAGCTTACACTGCACCCAAATAATCTCGCAAGGAACCTAAGACGGGTTTCGAACAGAACTCGTCTGCATCGTAACGAACTACCAGCCCAGCAATAAATATTAGGGCCCGTTAGTCTAAATTCAGTCTACATGACTGTAAGTTAAGTTATATTCTTAAGATTTGATATACTTATTGTTAGTCTCATATAGAGAAGATTCAATAAATAAAGCATATATTTACAAAAAAAAAAAAAAAATTATTTCATTAAAAAAAAAATTATTTATTTGAACCCTGGTTCGAACCTGAACCCTGCTCCGGCTCATCAATGAACCGGTTCGCAAGCCGGAACATTATCTGTCGATTAGGTTTGAACACCGAACCGAACCCATGCCAAAATAATATGGGTTCACAGCCCTGATTGTAATAAATGGATTTCAGAAAAAAATGCAGACTAACGTTATATATACAGATTTTAGTAAGGCCTTTGACTCCGTCAACCACTCTTTTCTCTTATTCAAATTAGATCTGCTTGGGTTTCCTGGTAATCTATTAACTTGGATTTCAAGTTACTTGAATGGTAGGACTCAGAGGGTTATATTCAAGAATTCTGTTTCAAAATTGATCTACGTGACATCTGGAGTCCCTCAGGGAAGTCATCTGGGCCCTTTGCTGTTTACTTTGTTTATCAACGATCTTCCCTCTATCATAACACATTCTCATGTTCTAATGTATGCTGATGATGTTAAGCTTTGTTTATCATATAATGATATAGCGTCGGGATTTAACTTACAGTCAGATGATGTTGAAAAATTGATTGTTTTCATGAATGGTGTGAGTACAACCTTTTAAAGTTGAACTACCTTAAATGCAACGTCATGACTTTTTATAGGGGTACTCCTACGTTTATTAGGTATTTTCTTGAAAATACGTCACTCGACCGTATATATTCAGGAAACGATTTAGGTGTTCTTCTTGACCCTAAACTTAAATTTGACTGCCACATAATGTCCACTGTTAATAAAGCCATGAGTGTTCTTGGCCTTATAAAGCGTTGGTCAAAAGAATTTGATGACCCTTATACGACCAAATTATTATTTACCTCCCTTGTCCGTCCTATTTTGGAATATTGTTCGTCGGTTTGGAGTCCACAATATCAAGTGCACATTGACCGTATTGAGTAGGTACAAAAAAAATTTCTTCTATTTGCCCTTCGTAGTTTGAACTGGGATCAAAACGTAAGGCTACCTTCCTACCAGAGTAGATTACTGTTGCTTAATTGTAAATCGTAGAAAAATGCTTGGTACTGTTTTTATGCATAATCTTATAAGAGGTGATATTGATTCTGCAGATCTTGTAAACCGCCTAACTTTCAATGTTCCTGTTAGACTAACACGAAATTATATCCCTCTAAATTTGCCACGATGTTCATCAAATTTTTGTCTGCACGAGCCCTTTCGCGTTCTATGTAATACTTATAACAACCTTTATCATCTAATTTGCATTTCCACTTCTATCCCGTTATTAAAAACTAATATTTTAACTCATTTGCGTTTCTCTTAATTGTGCCTTTTATTTTCATTTGTGTCTTGTCTCTATTTAATTTATGTATTTTCCTCGCGAACTCGCATTTTTTGCCCAAATTGATAATAGGGCCCGCGCGTAACAAGCACGTGCTTGGTGTCGTTGGGCCACTTGTTTGTACTGCTCGTAGTGCATCAACGTCCATCAGATTAAATTTAGACAATAAAAAACAAAGCTTTAAAAATTATTACACCTACATCATTTTACACGTCTGCACCGTCGGACGTGGAGATTAATACTAGTTGTTATTAAGTAAGTGTCTGTAAATGTGAGCGCAATTTTCAACGTCTGTTTTGTAGTTCAGTCTTATGCTTGTGGGTGTGTTTGTTATATGTAACATTTCTATGGTAAAGCGTTTTTTGTAATGTTGTTATTGTTCCAAAATAGTCGTTGCTTCAACATTTGGTGAGTGACCGCTGGTTTTATAGTGGGCCATAAGTGATGTTTTTTGTATATTAGCTTGGTGTCTTAATTTGAAGTCTGATCTGTGTTGTGATATTCGAGTTTTTAGTTTTTTTTATTCGAGGATTTAGTTGTTCCTATATATATACTGTGACATTTTTCATTTGTATCTCCATTGCATGGTATTTTATATACAACATTGTTTTTGTCAAAAAAAAAAAGAATCAACAACACGTACATCTGTGATGTTGAAAAATTAATATCATTTGATGTAGTCTCACTATTTCCCAGCATACCTATAGACCTTGCACTAGACACAATTAGGAAAATGGACAAAAATAAAAGAACATACAAATATGCTGAAAAAAATGTTTATGGACATAGTACAATTTTGCATACAAGACAACAGATATTTTAAATTTAATGACGATATATATACACACAACTAAAAGGAATGTCGATGGGATCCCCTGCTTCACTAATAATTGCAGACATAGTAATGGAAGAGCTATTAGACAACAATTTGAAAAAACTTGAACGCAAACCAAGATTTTTGACGAAGTATGTGGATGATTTATTCGCAATAGTCAAAGAAGACGAAATACAAAATACACTTGACGCTTTAAACTCTTTCAATAAAAATATAAAATTCACACTGGAACAGGAAGAAGATGGAGGACTAGCATATTTGGTTTCAATGGTTCATAGACAAGGGAACATTCTAAAACTAAAGTGGTATAAAAAACCAACAGCATCAAGACGAATTATTAACTTTAACTCAAAAACCCTAAAACAATAATTATCAGTACAGCAGTATATACAACGGATGCTAGCCATTTCGGACAACATTTTTCATGAAGAAACCAAAAATAAAATAAAACAAATTTTAAAGAGCAACGACTTCCCAAACCATCTAATTAGAACATTAATTAAAAGACACCAAAACATGGAACAAAAAACAAAATGTAGAGAACCTACACAATACATGTCCGTAACATATATACCAAGACTATCAGAACGCCTTAAAATGTCAGAATTTTACAATAAACAAAAAATAACGATAGCACACAAGCCCAACAATACCCTACGACCAATATTCAACAGGACCAAGACCAAAATACAAATGTTTGACAAAAACAATGTTGTATATAAAATACCATGCAATGGAGATACAAATGAAAAATGTGACAGTATATATTTAAGAACAACTAAATCCAAACTAAAAACTCGAATATCACAACACAGATCAGACTTCAAATTAAGACACCAAGCTAATATACAAAAAACAGCACTTATGGCCCACTGTAAAACCAGCGGTCACTCACCAAATTTTGAAGCAACGACTATTTTGAAACAAGAACAACATTACAAAAAACGCTTTACCATAGAAATGTTACATATAACAAACACACCCACAAGCATAAGACTGAACTACAAAACAGACACTTACTTAAGAACAACTAGTATTAATCTCCACGTCCGACGGTGTAAACGTGTAAAATTATGTAGGTGTCATAATTTTTAAAGCTTTGTTTTTTATTGTCTAAATTTATGTTATTTTATGTGTTTTTATGTTGATTATAGTTGCCCTGAAGACGGTTGCCAAAGTGCAACCGAAATATATTTGAAAAAATAAAATTTAAAAACTTTTATTTAAAAAATTTTTCATTTGTTGACCTCGAGCCGGAAAAACTCAAAAATTAAACATACATACATCAAAGGTCGCCTATAAAAAAATTTATAAATTATATAAAAAAGAACGCTACAGACGACAGGACGTTACTAGCAATATTAATAGCGCATTATTCATGTGTTCTTATACTTAAAAACTAAAAAAAATTAGCCAAAAATGTGTTAGAGCCTCCTAAAATACAACTAATTTTAGTATACATACACAAAAAAAGATTTTTAAAGAACAAAATTTTAAAAATATATGTATTTTTTTTAGTAAAACTATATATTACCTGTAAAATATTAAGTCTATATTCGATCACATTTATTTTGCCTTCGGATCCATTTAACACGGAAAAAATATGTGATAATAATTCCTTTACTATAACCCAATCGGAGCATTTTGTGGATATAAGCTTTAAAGATTCTAAGGACTCTCTTCGTGCAATGTCCCCTTTACTGTACAAATTTTTTATAAGAACATTTCCAATTTTTTGGGCATAACGACTGCAATCAAAATTCAACATAATAAAAATTAATCCAATACTTTCAAGTGTATTTTCTGGGCTTCGTAATATCGACCTTTGTAATGGGGGATATATATAGGAATCGAATTCTTTTTCAGTGAGTGATTCCAATAATGGTTGACAGGCTGCAATAAACGACTTGTCAGGTTTGTATTTGCATGAAATCATACTCTTTACAAAGTATTCCGATATGATTTCCGTATATTTTTTTAATATATTAGACTTGTTGCTTTTAGATTCAAACTGAATCATGGCCATGAGGATAATAGTAGCATTGCTAGTTGCTTCAGTTTGAATTATTGTGTCCAAAGTTTCATTAAAAATTGTCGTGTTTTCCCATAGCTCATACAATATTTTTGTTCTTGCTTCGGCAATTCTTTGGTTGGAAGATAATAAAGTTATTTGATAAAATAATGATTGATATTCAATTAACTTTTTTTTTTCTGTTTTAAATATATTTGAATCGCGGTCTGCTATTTTCTGTATTAAAGAAATCCATCCCAGTGCTATAACGGCCGATTTACAAGATTTTTGAGGGGAAACACCAGCGAATTCTTTAAATAAGAGAGTTTTAAAGACGTTTAACATATGTTCAATTGTTAAATCATGATGAATGGTGGCAAGATCAACAATAAGCTCTCTAACTAATCGTTGAGATGCAAGATCCTTATACTTGGTTATCGTAGTTCCAATGACTTTGCATATTCCTCGAATTATTGTTGAATTTATACCTAAAAAAAATAAACACACAATCTTAATTAAAAATAATAATATTTATGTGAGTAATTAATATTACATTCAATTAAATATAAGATTGCATTGTTATTATTTATTTTATTTCGGCAAAAATGCTTACTAAGTTTTACACAAAATATATTATTCCAAATCGCATTCCTCGTTCAATTTAGGTAACTTATACCAATTAGGTAACTGCGAAAAATATTGGAATCTTATATGAAAAAACCTTTTACCAGTTTTTTATACCCCTGTCGAAGTAGAGCTCTAGATATTATCTAAAATACTTAAAAAGTTATTAATAGCAATTGTAAGGAAGTAAGTTGAAGATAATAGATAGATAGATAGTTCGATAACGATTAGTGTTTCACCAACTTAATGACAGATCATCGCTACAAAGTTGGTGTAGAGATGAAAAATTGTATAATTAAATTAAAATAAATGTTTTTGTAACAAGTCAGTAAGGCCTAAGTAAGCCGTGTGTTATTGGGAACTTGTTGTGATTACTTGCGTACAAGCACGACACTCCTAATAATTTAAGAGTAAAACACATGATGTTGCCATGATGTGTTTTACTCCATGTTGCCATAATGTGTTTTACTCCTAAACTATCGGATAGCATGTAAATTATAGTTCGTAAACTATAGTTGATAAACTATAATTTCTAAACTATTGGATTAAAAAGGTATTGTTTTGTTGTTCTTGATGACTCTTTTGAAAAAGTTTGAAAGCTTTTCATTATTCTATGTTACTGATTCTTATTGTTATTTAACTTCTGAATTTTTGTTTAATCTTCGGTATTATTTGCTATTTCACTTATTTTCTTTGTTGAACAACTGCTTTTGACCCCTATTGGAAACACTCGAAACATTTAACTTATTTGTTTTAATACAAAAATTATAAATCTAAAATAATTTGTAGTTGTAAAAAGAATCTTTAGTACAAAGAGAAATCCTCAATTCGTAAATATTTGCTATATTATATATATTTTAACTTTCTTTTCGTTTTGAAATACGCCCATTAATCTTGAAATTTATTCGATCAATTTTTTTAAACACAGGACATACTGCTCACTTTGATCAGTCTGTGTAGTTTGTGGAGTCTTTCACAATTCCGTTAACTGCTCTGCCAACAAAAGAAGAAATGTAGAAACTGGAGAGGAAATCACACTGTAAGATACAAGGGCTGTGTGGTCTACAAGGAGTAAAAAACCGCATGCAACGAGTGACAACAACGCGCAATCAAAATACTCAGAACGAGTACACTTACTTCGGGACCACTGCAAGGTCCTCATTTGGTAAGCTATATATTTACCCAGAAGGGATACTCATACGCCGATGCCTTCCAAACAGGAACGGAAAACCCACTCCAGTCTAATCTAGGAAACGTTCAGCAGGTCCCAGGACAGTCACAAAGCACACTGGAAGCTATGATGGTTACTATGCAACAAAGTATAATGGAATTTATGTCCCTCATGAAAACGACCTTGCAATCACTGGTTGAAAACCAGAACATGGTGTTACAGTTGCTTGGAGCTAAGCAATCCAAATAATTGATGGCAAATCTACGAATAACCATGTGGAACGCCAGTGGCGTTCACAAAACTTGAAATAACACAGTTCCTGAATGAAAATCATATCGACATTATGCTACTGATAGAGACGCACCTTACAAAAAACTACATCTGAAACTAAGAGCCAGCAGCTTTTACTGAATATTAAACTCTCGATCGCCCCTGCTTCTGGACTACAAGGTCCTGCTCTACAACTCTACTCTTAAGGGGTAAACAGGGTCTTGAAGCACAAAAAAAAGCCTATTGTCGTGAATTTTTTAAAAGATCTTACGAAAATTTTACAAATTTCATTTATCCACATTAATGTATAAGCTTTAAACAACATTGTATAAAAATTTGAACAAAAAATATTAAAAAATGAGCCGTTGAGGCAGGCTTGAACTTGGCCACACCAAAAATCGTGTCATTGCGGTAGGCATAATATCTCCGTCAATTTTTATTTGAAATCGAAAAACCAAAGTTTTTCTGTTAGTGTATGTGTCTGGCTTGTCTTTGAATGAAGGATTATCTTTATACCCTTCCAGAAGGTATTATAGTTTTGGTCATGTGTGCAACGCAGTGAAGGAGACATCTCCGACCCTATAAAGTATATATATTCTTGATCAAGATCGCCTCCTGAGTTGATATCAGCATGTCCGTCTGTACGTCCGTCTGTCCGTCCGTCTGTCTGTCCATCTGTCCGTCCGTCCGTCTGTCCGTCTGTCTGTTTCTACGCAAACTAGTCTCTCAGTTTTAAAGATATCAAATTAAAACTTTGCACACACCCTTCTTTCCTTTGCACGCAGTATATAATTCGGAACGGCCGAGATCGGCAGACTATAACTGAACGATCGGAAATGCCATAATTTTGGTGTTTTTAAAGTTAAGATGTTTGGATTATCTATGGGTTTTATTTTTGGCCAATCAATCCGACCTACCAAATTTCATAAGGATCGGCCGACTATATCCCATAGCTGCCATGTAACTGAACAAAGAATAACTGAAGAAAAAAAAAATAAAAAAATTCCATAACTTTGGTGCTTTTAGAATTAGGAAGTTGGGATTTTTTATGAGTGTTAAGAATCATATGAATAATTTTGGAGAATATTATTTACAGAATATTCTGCAAGGGTATATCAACTTCGGCTCCGCCCGAAGTTAGCTTTCCTTTCTTGTTAAAATTAAAAATTGAATTTTTTGAAGTGCTTTTCATAAAAAGTGCCATTTTTTACGTAAATTTTGGACATATTTTGGCTTATAAAATGAGTTGTAATTAAAGATAAACAAAATCCTTCGTTCAACGACAACAAAAACATGTCTAAAAGAAGTGTACAAAAGCAGAAGTAGATCGGTGCAATAGTTTTTGAGAAAACGTGACTACCGTCTTCAAAAAAGTGGTTTCGAGAAAAACGCGATTAAAGTTTTAAAGCGGACCCAAAAGGTCGCCGTTTTCCTGCTTCTGCGTGCGGCACCTGATCGACGCCAGAGCCCGAATTGCCAGTTGTGACTTATTCGACGCGCTGGGCTTTAAATTTCTCCCATTCCTACAGTTTTGCTTCGATCGACTTGAAATTTTCGGACAACCTTCCTCACACTTTGTACTATTATATACAAAAGTTTGAAAAAAATGAATTTTTTTAAGTGTCAAGACCCGGATAACCTTTTAAGCCTATCTGGACATATGGCTCCCAGCTATGGGGGACCGCGAGCAGCAGGAACATTGACAACATACAGCTCGCACAATCGAAAATATATATGTATATTTGCAACCAAACCATCCAGAGAGACCTCGGCATTCTTGCAGTAAAAGATGAAATATACAAACAAAGTAAAACTCTCCGTGCACCCAAATCATCTCGCAAGAGGATTGACTCGTGTTTCCAGCAGAACCCGCCTACAATGCAACGACCTTCCAACCCAGCAAAATAATTCCCAGGGCCCCATAACTCAGTACCAGTCACATTTGATACACTTATTGTTAGAATCCGAAAGGAGAAGATTCAATAAATAAATATCAAAGCAGAAAAAAAAATTCGTAACAATTTTTAAGAAGAAACAATGATTGAGAAAAATTCGAAGAGTTTTAAAGAAAAACAAGAAAGAAACAAACTATATACCCTTGCAGTTGTTACAAATCGACTACATTTCGATTTGATACACCTTTTGTTAATATATGCCTATATTCTATAGCAGCTACATGATATTATTATTCGATTTTAATTTTTTTCCGATTGTTCCTATGGGAGCTATATGATATAGACAGACGGGCATGGGCTAGATCTACCCTCCTGGAAAAGGCTTCTTTACTGCGTTGCAAATTTTTGACTGAAATTATAATACCATCTGCAACAAGGCTATAAAAAAATAACAATAAAATCCTGGTACAAAACCAGGAAACCAATATGAGACAAATGGAAATAAAAGGCAAGTCAGTTAAAAATGGCAGGTTTTCGGCACCAGCGATATTTCTGGCTGGCAGCTACATACAAAACAGATAAATTGGCAACAATTTTCACAAGTTTTAAATATCTTCGTAGAAGAACTCGTTTTAAATCCTTTTAAGTCATATTTTACACAAGAATCACAATATTGTGATTCACCAAGATTCACCTCTTTCCCTACATCATCAGTTGCCATAGAAAATATACACGAACTTAGGAGCAGTGGCAGCATCGCTGGGAGAGGTGTCTTAGAGTAAGACTGTGTTTAAAAATAAAATTGCGAAAACAATTAACGATATATTATATAATTAAAACCGTAAATATATCTCCAGTAAAATCCGTTTATGTTCAGTCGATAACAGAAATGTTGCAAATATTTACAAAAGGTTTTGAAATTCAAATTCGTATATTCTTAAACATCTAGATCTTAAGGATTCGCGACTGATATGATTAAGCCCAAATAAGCATAACAAAAAGTTTTACTTAAAGTCAACCTTGTAACATTTAACATTTGTAATCTAAGCCAAAACATACGAAAGGACCGCAACGATCAACATTTTTTCGATCATAACCAAATATTGACTCAGGTTTTTTTGTGACGCAAAACTTTGCTCCAGCTAATATCAAATGATCGTTAGCGAGCGTGCTCAAAGCAAACAATCCGTTCGAATCACTCTCGCTTGACGCGTACATGATCGGATTTGATCGAACATTTTGTGTGAGCGTCAAAGAATGACCAGTTCGATCAAAATCGTCATCGATCGTGACTAGCATAATTATGAAGGGTGAATCAATTGCTTTCTCTTCTTAAATTCATTTTATAAAATGTTTGGTATTTAAGAATCTAACGTCTGAAATGAATTTTTAATTTATGAAAAAGTGATAATTTGAAACATGTGTTCCTTAACATTTTTAATTTTAACCATTACATTACTTTTGTTCCTTAAGCCTAGTACTCAGATCGACGAAAACTGTACGCCAGTCATGAGAGAGAGCGAGAGGC